CTATACATTTTAGCACGTAGCTATTTATTATTAGCATTATTCTTCCGACGTCTGATTTCTTTCTAATTATAGGAAATGCGTTTTTCTAAGGTACATAAACTTGTGGGATTGACTGTATATCCAATACATCCTTAACCAACGACACATGGAATCCTGACATTCCTCAAGACATTCATACATAATCAGTTTCGCGGAGGTGCACGATCGCGGAGATCTCCTCTCTTTAGTTGATCGGCGAGCCACGTTTCCGCGTCGGAGAATGCCGATTGCTTTTAAACTACATGCACTTGAGCCATCACGCGCTCTTCCAAACACGTTCTCCTTCGCTTGACGAGCAGAGATTCGAACCGGGCAATGAAACTTTCAATTTACTTTCGAACTTATCGGGTTGAAAGTTCATATTGAAATGGCGTAACCAAATAAGCCGAGCGAAGTCAACCATTCTTCTAAGGTTACACTGTTTCATTTGATTTTATGGAAAAAGTGAGGCTGCCTGGAGCGTCGCAATTCGTACATAACATTAATTCGCATGATATCCAATATAATATTTGATATCACGTTAAAAGTAACTTTCTATTTCCGATTCAATTACAGGGACTTTTCTATTAGCTTGAAATTCGTTTGACAGCCGGCTGGATATTATTTCGAGAAATTCGCTTGTTTGAATGGGCGAAAGGCATGCCCGGGAAATTGCGCCGGTGGCAACAGCGATTCGAAAATTTTGCACAAAGGGTGGGGCCGCGTGAATTGCAATCGTTGCCGCACGCGGTCCTATTAACGAGCTGCTAGGAAATAGTCATTATTAATAACCGGTGCATCCTGGAACAAAATTTATCCCGCGCTTCCGACCGGTCGTTTAATTCAGTCAACCGATATCGGTCGTATTCAAAAACGCTGCCTGGCCCGAGCGACCTACCCGCAGAGAGACGCGTCCGGGGGAAAGATTATGAACGCATAAATCAAAAATTAGCATTAACGATTCATTATTAACAGTCGAGCTGCGTGGGCCGAGATAAAATTTATCCCCAGCGTTTCCGTATTTCCGATTAATTAATGCGGCTCCCCCGGCGCTTTTTAAACAACAACATTAACGCACCGCAGCGGAACAGTCTGACGTTTTAACGAATGAACACGGCACGAGAGCCGATGGACGTACGAAACGTTCGGAATAATAATAATCCTCAACGATATCGAGCAAAAACGAATAATAAATCCAAAACGCTTAAAAACGTTTAAGACACAAACAGAGAAAGAGCAAAACAGCAATAACCCTTAACCCTTATACACGTATTACGGTCAATCGAATAAAGAAGTTTATTCATCGATATAAATTAGGTGAATCGAAATGCCTTTTACCACTCATTATTCCGTTTACAATGAGCTACGCTACACATATTATTTACCCTCTAGTTTACTCGCAGCTCCCTGTTACCTGTCCATCAAACTTCTCAAAGCTTCCGCACTCTGCACCGTAATTACAATTAAACGTCGTTCAATCCCTGTGTGGACCTATCGCGTCGATATCTCGGTTTGCTCGCCGCGATAAAGCCCGGTGCCATTTACCTGCTGCGGTCGTCTGAGAAGAAAAGATTCTCGCGGCGGTCTCGTGGAAAAGAGCAAAAAGAAAAGAGACCGAAAGCTTTCTCGAAAGTCCAGCTTTCCTCTTCCTCCCGCGGATCGCATCGCGCCGGTGGCTCTCGCGCGTCGTGGGCGAAAGGAAGAGAGAGGTCGAAGCGGAGAGAGACGAACGAACAGGACGAGGGACCAGAAAGAGGGACAGACAGGTCGGTCCGAGAGAGGAACTCGCGGCTGCCATGGTTACCGTCGCATTCCCGCCTCGCCTCGTTGCCATGGAAACGCCTCGTGGACCTCTCTCTTTCGCCCTGACGGCTGCCCTCTGCCCGTCTCCTTCGTCCTCACGGAGAGACCGTACGTCCCTCTTCCTCCCCCGTTGGAACGGTTCCTCTCCTGCTCGCTCCGATCTTCTCCCCGTCGCATCGCGGCAACTCGCTCAAGCTTCTCCTCTACCTCCGGCATTCGCTCATATTCCCTCCGTCCCTTTGAACGAACCGGGCGAAGAGAGGACCCGAGGAGAGAAACGGCGGATAGGACAGCCGGAGAAAAGAAGAGGAGAGCGTACGCATGCGCCATAGACCTTGCCTTCTGACAACGAGCCTCCTGGACGTCTCTCCCGTGCTCTTCGAGTCGTTCGATTAGTTATCGACTGAAAGTGATTTACGTTCTCTTATCGGGTCCCTCCTTGGCGGCCGCGTAATTTAATTAAAGGAGAAATCGAAGATAGACAGCCGGCCGATCGTTTCCGCGAGAATTGGACAGCCACCGATACCCATCGATGCTCGACATTCTGAAGCGCCATCGGGGACACCCGGTGCCCAAGCGAGAATATTTTCAAACGCTATAGAGATACTTAAACACATATTTTCTCTACTTTTTTATGTACCGAGCCTGAGAATATAGACGACAGAGGCAGAACGATGTTGCGACACGCTTCGCGATGAAACCAGAGGTAGTTATGTGTACGCGTCGCGGACCGATAGACAGGCGGAGGTGTAAGCGGCTTGCTTTATAAGCCCCGACTCTGATTGGCCGTCGCGTCACCCGATATCAATATTTATTCAACGCGGCGAATGCCCGAGGCGCGATTAAAACTTGTTTATGCCGCGAACGATTGCGCTCCTCCCACTAGGTTACCCTACCTACATCGCGCCTGTTCTCTATCTACGCGATTACCATGCTTCCACCAGAGCACACATTCATTGCATCTGCCTTTCATTGATTCAATTAATTCCTTCCCATTTTTTAAAACTGATAAACGTCGATATAGAAAACGATTTCGTGTACAAATCGAAATTATTAACAGTTCGTAACAAATATACATTGTAGTAACATTTTACTAAAAAAATGTTGAGAAATATGTAATAAATTCATTTAGAAATAATAAATTAAAGGACGATGAAATGTTCGACTTACCAGGACTACCGAGGAAGACAGAAGAATAAAGTCGTCGAGCATCGTTCGCCGCTCGCTGCGCGTCCGGCGGCGAACTCCATTCTCTACGCGGACACCATTTACCTGAAGCAAAGAAACAAATAAGTTCCGTTAATATTGTAAACCGATTACCACATTACAAGAATAAAATAAATATCCGATTCGACAGAGGGGATAGAAACGAATCGAACCAACTGCAACTAAATCGCAACATATAAATTTTCTCTGAAAGAATAGCAATTGAATTGCAAAGAACAAATACCGTGTAAGAAAATCAGCAGGTTATTGCTCGACGTTGTGGAAAGAATGCATCGTTTATGTACAAAGGGGACAAAGAATTCGTGATCGCTCGCATCACGAATTCGATCGAGTAGATTCTATCGCGTGCTGCTCCATATACATCCCGTTACCTCTTCCGTTAGTTTTTTACCTGGCATGCGATCCTCGTCCCGCGCCGCTCCCGGCGAAGAATAATCGCGCAATTACAATAATTAGATAAACGCGCGAGGAGAGCTTGTTGCGCCGAGAGCCGGTTGAAACGAGCTCGAGACGCGTCGCATACGACAGATTCGACGGCGATACTACGATTCCGTATTTTGCAATTAAATTGTCGTCGCCGGTCGATTTCCCTTTTTAACAGCGGCGGGCGGAATAGTGCGAGCCACCGCGGTTACGAGAGAAATATAATTGGGGACGTTGGGGTGTTGAAGAAAAAGAGAGGAGGAAAATAATCGAAACGCGGACGCGATTAACGCGCGGGCGACCCGGGAGAGCGAGAGAGACTGATTTATAAGGCGGACAGAGGAACGAGGTATTGCAATTTTCCGGATGCGAAAATAGGAAAGGTATGTACTTTATTTCCAGGGAGATCCCGGCTGAATGAGGATACACGGTATAAGAAAGGGTGGCACCGGGGGATAAGAGTAAGCCGCGGAGCGAAGTAATTTCACACGGGAGAGTAGGGTCTCTCTCTCTTCTGCCGTCGCGCCGGATCCGGCGAAGCTGCAGTCTTATCTACGGAAATATAGCGGCCATCCCCCTCGGCGAAAATTATATTCTTGAAAAGCAGAAAATTGCTTCAGAGACCAAGCGCACCGATATTACTCGAGGTCTATACGTTGCAGCTACGCATTACACTAAAATAAATAAAGAATCACACTATAATAATTAATTAATTCATTTCCTAAGCGGATACAACGCGACAAATCGATTACGTGGCAGTTTAGTCGGAGATAATATTTAGTCATGAAAATCGTGCTAAACTTCTACCCCCGTCGAAGGGGCTAAGTCAAGCGTGCACTGCTATTTTGACTGTTGGTTTTGACATGTTGGTGAAAAAGCACGTTTGCGAGATGGTTGCGCCGACGCAACATTCGTGAGCTGGAGGTCTGTCTCTTTCCGGAGGGCTTAATGGATTAAAAAACGCGGCCGGAATTCTAATTCCAGGGTCCGAGGAGAAGGCGCGTTTAACCCAACGTTACGGTTATGGTTAGTCGCGTTAATTTGTGGCCCAGCCAAATGACAGGGCCGAACCAGTGATTCGAAAGTAATGGTTATCCCCGGCGCGAGGGACAGCTGGATTCGCGTTAATGACGAGGAGATTAGAGAGGTACACCGTGCACCGAGAGACGAGTGAATCTCTGCCGCGCGACACACAGACCCGATTGAATAATATTTTGGAATAATAGTATACCTGGCGTGGATATAGACGCGACTTCGAGCGAGAGAGAGTCTTTGGAGAAAGCGAGAATGACTGGTTCCCGACGATGGGATCACGGCTTTCTACGCTCGGAGCAGGAACGGGCGAATAAACGATACATTAGGATTATTCGGATAGTCGGTCGGCAGCGTTACCGAGCCATTAAACACTGGCAGACCGTGCGTCACAGTTATCCCCGAAGTCCTCGATGAAACGGGACCCCGAGAATACCTGTAGAATCTTAGAATCCTCCGGGCCGGCGGAGGTGGAACGGCCCGTGAAGAAATTTATAGCCGCTAAGAGACAGGGTGTAATCATACGCGTCACCCCGTCAACCCTGTGGCTGTGATTTATCGTGGGAATTTCCAAACACGATTATGAACGTCTTCCAAGATTCTGGCCGAATTCCGCGCGTTCCCTTAAACGAGTCAACAATTTTTTCCCTCCTTTTAATACGAGTAATTCACGGGGAGTGGTCAAAACAATCGAACCAGAGGAAAGTTCGTAACTTGCAGGAGCGACGATCCAAATTCATTGATGCGTCTGGAACCGCGTCATGAATTATTCCGGTCCTGAAACTTTAATCACGACCGATTCCGTGTTCAGAGGAGAGAGGAGCAATCGTCGCATCTGGAAACGAAGCGCAGCACGAGTCGTCCGACTCCCGTTCTCGGGGGGGATGGGAGAGATTTTCGGTTAAGTGGCATCAAGTGAGACGTCTCTTTTGAACGATCGCTCTGCGTCTAAATTGCGGGTTAACTTCGGGGTTCGCGTGTTAGCGACAGTCGAGCCACGCGGTTTCGGCGTGTGTGCAGCATATGAAACCGGAGCAGCAAAGAATGTGTCAAATAAAAACGGGGGATGAGAATCGAATTGAGGGAGGAGAGGTGAGACGGTCCGACTTCAGCGTGACCCGTCTTCGTCGTATGTCGAGAGCGAAAAGTCGAACGGAGACCAGGGTTTATTTTTACTGGCTACTATGACACGCTCGACGATTGTAAATTGGAATGTAATCCGAGCAGAGCGTCCACGGATCTCTCATCGGTATCGGGTCATCCGCTGCCTGCCTCCTTCCCACTGATTCATGTGTTAACGAGCATCGCGCTTCCAGTTTCAACGGACGGTTCGTTGAACCTTCCCGCTGGCCAATCGCACGGATATTCTCAATTACGATTTTGCTTTCTTTTTATGAGTCAGTTTATGTGCCGTCGCTCCGTTCGGTGGTCCGTCATCGGTTCAGTAATTCGTTTGGTATTTAGCATCGCCGAGGATTACTTGACCCGTTGGTTAATCCTCAATCATCATCGCGCGAAAGTAAAATTAAATCTGCTGCTTTTGTTTCTTTTTTCATATGAAAAGATACACACTCGTTCGTCAGAGGGAACTGACCGTGATGATAAACACACGAAATTGATGACTGGTTCATTCATGCCAATTGTCTCAAGAAATACACGTTTCCTCTTTATGAACATGACTAAATACTCGAAGAAAGAATTTCGAAAAAGAGATCATCAGCTACAGAGAAAGAGACGAGGTTCCAGGGCGATATAGATACGTTTCCAATAACCCGATCGTATTGGGGTTGTGTCCTTGGTATAAATAAATCAATATAACCTGCCCCGATGCCGAGAAGCCGCCCTCTCGCCGTAAGAAAGTGACGTATGAGACTCTCGCATCCTCGAAACGAGGGTTGAGGAGGCCACCCTGTTATTTCACAGTTAGGCTCGTCCCACCCCTGTTCGCGCAACCTTCAACCTTCCTTCTCCTCCTCCTGGCATCCTTTCTATCCGAGACCGAGCTTCCCGGCTTCCAGGCGCGCACGAGTCCCTCGGGAAGCTTTTGTCCTCGAGCTGTAAGCGACTTCCTGACAGGCCAACTTTGCACCTGCTCTCCGCCTGCCGCTTGTATCTCACCTCGCCCGTTTCTCTTTATTCCTCTGGTTCGCCTCGCTCTTTCTCTCTTTCATTACCGGATCTATCCTTAACGCAAACCCCTACCACCATCCATCCGGATAATTTATTCGGGATGGGTATACATCCTGGATCGTTCTCCCTTCGTACCCTTTCAAGCTTTCGTCCAAATACATAGATCACCAGATAAACGGATCATGTTGCTCGCTTGAAATTATTTTCAAACAATCCTGCACATCGAAACGTCTCAATTACGCGAGCCTCGAATCCTCGTGTCGTCTCCAATAAACTATCCTCGTCGATTATTATCGAGTACGATTATGAAATGGCCAGAGTTAATGCAGATCGTAAACAAAATTTCAAATAAATCAGTTAAAACAGGAATGTGAAAGATATAGCTACCGAGATATAACCTGCAGTATACTCTGCAGATGGAACGGAAGATTACCGCGATAAAGCTATCAGAATTTTCCACGACACCTGGCGCGAACCGCGGCGCGTTGCGGCGTCGCTCACAATTTTCCGTTTCGCGATGTCTTTCCTTCGTCGGCAAAAGAGAAGTAAGGAGGAGGTGACGGCAGCGATAGAGATAGAAACAGAGGGGGAGGAGGAACCCCGTTCGCAGATGTTCGAGACGCCCGGTGATTAATGACGCCCGATAAACGTAATTTGTTGCGGGGCCGCGGACTCGTCGTCGTCTCCCGGCTCGTCTTTCGAATTCAAATTGATAAACAGGACGCAGTTTGTAATGGCCGGTGCGGCGGGTTGCGCCGGCTACGGGACGGCTGTCGGATGAGCCGGGACGACTTCACTGACCGACCGGCATAGTAATTAATTTTAAGCAGCACGCCGCGCGATTTTCGCTATCTCGCCGCAGCTCTCGCTCTCCCTCTCCAGTGTTCTCCGCTGACCATGACAAACACACCCTCGACCAGCGACCGATTACCTTCCCCGTCACTTCTTTTCCTCTTACCGATCGCCGCGATTCACGCCAGCGTGATAATTCAATTAGCCGCTGGAACTTCCTCAATAATTCCCGTCTAACGGTTTCTCACTGACCAAATGTCAATTTTAATACATCGTTTTTCATACTACACACGCTAGTAGGTTTACGATCTATTTTTCAGAGCGGTTCGAACCGTTCCACCGTCAAAAACGACAACCGGTAGAAGTTAGCATAATTGGGGCACGAGGCGATTGGACGAGGTCGATACGATTCGCAATAAAGCGACGCGCGTACCGAATCGAACGCGCGTTATTAAGAGGAATACATAAAGATAAGCCGAGAAGGGAAACGCGCCGGTTTCGGTGCACGGGGACAACACGTAGGCCGGTTACGTAGGCGCGGCTGAGAAACGCAGCCACGGTGTGTCGCGCGAACGCGCGATTACCATTAAACGTGTAATGGAAACGGGGGACCCGAAGGAACCTGGTCGGTCACCGATGTCGCGATAACATCGGACAGAGGTGTTAAC